CGTGGCGATTTTTATCGACAGTACCAGCGATAAAAATCGACGGTACTGTCGATAAAAATCGCCACGTGTGCGCCGGGCTTAAGTAATTCAAGTATGTAATGCAATGCAAATATCCAAAAATGCAAAAATGCAAGTAGTTCCGCCTATGACAACCCGCTTTACCCAGTAAGTAGAGGCAGCAGCGAATTGCCCGAGTGTGTGTTTTACCTGCGTGTCGACCCAGGTCCTTCACGATCTGCTCCTCTGTCACCTGTGGATCATAGATGTTGAGCAGGGCGCCTTCCTCTAGCAGCTGCTTGCAGACGCCTATGCTAGGCGACTGGCTGTACAAATAGGAAATATAAATATAATAAAATCAGGAGTGAATAATAGAGATTTCTATTATTCACTCCTGATAAAATACTATATCGTATATTATAAACATAAAATAGCAATGTTCATGTGGACTAGGTGAAGTCCCACGTCCGCGAATATTGTCTAAAGTCTTACGTTCCTTCTTCGTTTAAGAAATATGGCGGAAAACGAATATTATCGTTCAAGGCCGTAGATTGGATGCAGAAAGCAAACCTTTGCTGTAACTAATACTCTTTGTATCAAACTCTTCTTGTTCCTGAAGGTTTCTCTGTTATCCGAACTATCCAATGTTTTTACTTGGTGACTATTCTCTGGCCAACCGCTTTAAAAATGTCATTGATAACCTGTAAAATGCTAGGTCTGTTCTCTCCCAATCTCTATCTCTTTCACCTCTCTCCCTCTGTATTTGTGTCTCCTGCTATTCTTTCTGTGCCACACAACAATTCATATAATATAAAACCAGTTTACTGCTAATCTCATTATTTCTTTTTTGTTGCTGCCAAACCTCTTTAACGACCTGACCCGTAACAGCTTTTCTTTACAACCCGTTTCTCGCTTCCCTTCCTGATGAACCACTTCAATGATAAAATAACAGTCTCTAGATGAGCTCGTCTTCTGTATCATCGTTCTAGTAACCGCGCTGCCACAATATTTATATAAACAGTTCTGGCAAAAGTACAGGTTAGCTTAGGTAATTCTGCCGCGTTTATTTTCACATTTGTAAGCACATTTTGCCCTATATATATATATACTGTGCCATGAATGTGAAATATAATTTAGAAAGAGGTGTTACTTATTTTAGAAATTAGACATCGTATTTGAACATTTTCTGACGAAGAGACATTACTAGCTCTTGTAAGCTAGTTTTTAAAATCAAAGCCACCGCGTTCATACATTTTTATTTTGTATTGTTTCTTATTATATTGATATATATACCTCGTATCGCCGGTGTTCTTCTTATACGCAAACCCCAAAATCGCTATAGACTTGTTTGTCACTGTGTTGAACAACGTCTTTATGATCTTCTTTGTAAATCTGTCTCTCTGATATGAATTGGTGTCCAAAACCTAGTGTGTTTATGAGAGAAATATTAACGTAAACGCACACATACCCTGTCCTCATTCGAGGACTGATTTTAGATGGTGACTCATCACATAGAAAAGATAGCATGGACTAGATTCACATGGTTTGTTCACCACTAGAAACACATTTGATTCATTTCCCATTTTGCATTTTCGTTTCACTTGTTTTTCCTCAAAGCTGTGTTTCTCCTACCAGACCAGTCGTTATATTATCTAGCACACACGTCCACACACACACAGACACACACACACACACACACACACACACACACACGACACACACACACACACACACACACAC